GTTGCCCATCCCAGCTCCTACCTACAAGAAGGGGCTCTCTGTGACTCCAGGGCTTGGAGACAACGTTCAGTCTCCTGCAGTGGCTCATTGCTTGGGAGTCCCTAGGTCTGAGCAATTAATTTACCAATGATTTTGCCTCTCATTAGAATCTAATGTTTATTTGGAAAAACACTTCCACCATGAGGGTGGCCAAACAGTGCAACAGGAGCCCAGAGAGGTTGTAGGATTTCCATCCTTGGGGATATTCAACACTTGACTGAACAGGGCCTCAAGAAACCTGATCTTCTGACTGAAATTACTCTGTAATTCTGTCGTTAGGAGCTCCCTGGGACAGGACCCATTGCACCATTGCTTATCCAGCTGTATTTCATAGGTGATTATTTACCCCCAGCCCTCTCCAAGAAGCTTGTGAGGGTAGTCAGAGTCAAGCAGCAGCTTTCTGGTTTTATTATCATTGTTTTATTTCCATTAGTTCTAAAGGTGTAGAAGTTACGTGGATTGGTAGCCATACTACTTCATAATATATATTTTTTTACATCTTTAAATAATTACAGCTTGTTCAGTTGGTTGGTTTCCCTCTCCCCCTTACAAATAAGTGTCTGTTTCCATGGGACCTTCCCAGGTAACCTGGGAAGCTTCAAAATTTATACATGGGGAGAAAAATAGCAAAACAAAACACCACCCCTGACATACGTGGATTGGTAGCCATACTACTTCATAATATATATTTTTTTACATCTTTAAATAATTACAGCTTGTTCAGTTGGTTGGTTTCCCTCTCCCCCTTACAAATAAGTGTCTGTTTCCATGGGACCTTCCCAGGTAACCTGGGAAGCTTCAAAATTTATACATGGGGAGAAAAATAGCAAAACAAAACACCACCCCTGACATAGTCACAGCTTCAATGTTACATTAAGAGTTGTTGATCGCTTTTAAAGCTCCCTTACAATATTCCTGAGCTCCTCCTGATTGCACCCTCTCCAGCCAGCCCATAAGATTGCAAGTGAGAATTGGATCTCCTCTGATCAATTTAGAAAAGAGTAACTGAAGTGATGCCAGATATTGCACTTCCACAAAGAGGAAAGACATTTAGCAATGGTTAAGTGACCTTTCTACCCCTCTGGCTTTCTGTCCTGGTTCTCGTCTGCGCATTTCACTCTGGACTGACAATTGCTCTACAAGTTTTGGGTGATTGAAAACAATGACAGAACCAGGTGTATCTGAACTTGTACTGCTTGTGGTGCAAAAGGAAGGACAAAAGAGCTAATTTCTACTAGCAAAGAGAGCCGAGGTGTCCTCATGGCTCCCAGAGCCCCACCTTCCTAAAGCAGACATCTTGTCCTCTTACTGGGGTCCTTGTAAATGCTCCTCACTGTGTTTCAAGAATTATTTTTTAGGCTTTGAGGAAGGCTGAGAACCAGTTAAGAAATCTCTGCCATGATCATTTAGATAACCTGAGGGAGTATATGGCAGTTTTATGTCTGGCAGGGATTTTCCCCTTTCAGTGCAAGTGGACTCCTTTATGGCATCTTGGAGTGTGTTTTAAGGGCAGGAGAAAAATTCAGCCAGGGAGTTTGGCTTTGAGGGTAGGAGGAGGAGCACAGCAATAATAAGGCAAGATGGACAGAACCTCTGGGAGCAACCGTACGGAGAGAGAAACGCTGTGTGTGTTTGGTCTGGACTTTAGCTCATCTCCAGGAGGCCACCTGCTTCCCTCCCTCTCAGATTGTCCAGGGTAGTTCTAGGTATCTCAAACATGTGCATTAGCCAAGTTGCATCTTCGTGGTGCATGCTTCTCTGTCACAGACAGGAATTCACAGCCAGATCCCAAGAGAGCTCAACTGCCATTTACAAAGGAATGTAGTTCAAGGAGGAGGCAGGTTAAAAACCTGCATGCCTGGGGAGAAACACCTTTATGTTTTCACCCCAAATTCATATTTTTAGGTGCTATTTCTGGCCTCTTATCTGCAGCCTATCAGGCCTGAGTAAAATCACAGAATTTCATTTATTTTTATTCATGTTTCATGAATATCTTTTCTTTGTTTGTAATTAACACTAATGACGCTAGACCCTGCATTAACTCAGGAAGACAGAGTACAAACTCTAGTGCAAGTCTTTTCTTTGTTTGTAATTAACACTAATGATGCTAGACCCTGCATTAGCTCAGGAAGACAGAGTACAAACTCTAGTGCAAACACCATCCAGCCATCCCCATGGCATCACTGCCATCGTTTTTTTCTCTGGGGAGTGCAGAGGCTCTGTCACCCCTCCAAACCCTGCAAATCTGAGTTACACAGAGCACAGAGAATGTGGAAGGGTACAGGTGTCTGTGACTCCAGTCCCAGTCTTTATCACGACCAGTCCAGTTGAATCCTTCTCCTTAAAGAAGCTTTTCTACCATCAGGAGGAAAATGGTGAGTTCAAACAAAAACAATACAATGCCATTCTTTTGCTTCAACCATGTGTGTGGCTTTCCTCTTCACCAAGCCATGTACCTCAGTATTTGGTTGGAAACACTCTTTGTAGGAATGTTAAATAGTGGGAGATGGATGATAGCACATTTGGCAGGGGGATGCACAGTCCCTCTTCTAGATTTTTATTTGGTAGTTCCGTACTTGAGTTCTGGATGCAGGGAGGAAAGAAAGGAGCTGGGAAGGCAAGAAGAGTAACAGAGTTTGGGAGTGGACAGAAACAAGAGCGGAGAATCTTGCAGGACGAGGTCTCCCAGAAATTCTCTGCCTGGACAGGCAAAGCTGTCCCTCCTCAGAAATGTTGATGAAAATGTCATGGCAAACGTCTGATGAAGCACTTAGATGGCACAGGGGAGCTATGGCATCTGCGATGCTGGAGTTTGTTAAGCACATGCTAGAGAAAGAGCAGTCAGGGCGAGGTTAGGTAGAATCGATCCCTTTGGGAAAAGGGAATGAGTCAGTGAGCTCTCAGCATCTCTTCCAACCCCGTTTTCTAGAATTCCCTGGTTGCTGAGAGCCTTATGGGCAAGAAAAACCATGAGTCTTGTTTTACTCGTGCATGGATGGAGCTATGCTTCTCTTGCAAGCAAGCAAGTCTATGCACATACTTGGTAAAGAAAACAGCCCCTGCCTACCTCCATTAGAGGCTGAAGCCTTTGCTTATTGCAAAAGGTGAAATCCTAAAGGGTTAGATGTGTGAAATGGTCATGAGCCAGCTGTTAGGGGCAAAGTAGGCACTCACAATACAGCCAAAAATAAATGACAATCAAATTTCACCAATGACATCAAAACCAACAGAAATGTATGCAAAATAATTAAATTAACTGTCTCAAAAGCCATGGCACAGCAGCATTAGAAGAGCATCGTTCACTTGCTGTGCTCTTGAATAATCTCTAAGCCTGGCTTGTAGCTATCCATAAGGGAAGAGCCCAGCAATCTCCTCCAGGATTTGATGGCTAGTGTGGGTCTCCTCTACCTGCTTCCAGAAGGTTCCTCCTTCCAAAATACACCTTTGACTTTGGACAGACCTTCTCCAGGCTCAGCCAACAACCTTTTGCAAACACAGTTCCATGATTTTGCAATGATAAATAGGAAAGGAGTTAAATACGGACATTTGTTAGGTTTTCAGACCATCTAGGAAAACGAAGACAGTACTCTAGATGTGTAAGCTGAGGATGTGGGGGGGAAGGTCTCTTTTTTTCTCTGCCCTAGATCATATCAAATGCACTAAAGCCACCACAGCATGTCTAGTGAAGTCTGTTCAACAAACTGTTCTGGAACTGGCTCCATTTGGTGGAAGATCGCTGAATTTGGGTAATGAGAAGGTGGTGGCATTTTCTTCTGGTCAGAAAAAGAACAGATGGTGACAGAAGAAAAAAGTGTCTCTGCTACACCATCATCTGAGTCTTAAATGCCAGGTGTTTTTAAATAAACAAAATTCAAGAACTGTGTCCATCTTTGTGTTTCTGGCTATTTCATAGAAGGTGTTGATAATCAAATAGAGAGGCTCGTTTAAAGGCAGGGAAAAGGCTTCAAATCCATTAGCATGGAGATTTGAGTCTTCTCTGTTCATTTCATAAGAGCTCTCCTACACCTCAGATAAGTCCTCTTTACCTCTTTGCTGGAACATCTCACAAGGGGAGAGAAGGAGGGAGAGCAGGGGAGGTGGGAAACAACATTGACTTGATGATTACGTGGCATCTTCTTCATCTCTCAAGCAGATCAACCTGAAGTCCATGGGTGGAAGACCAGGTTATGCAGTTATGATGTCCCCATGGTTTTCAGCTAAGACCAGGCTGTTCCAGGAGTCCTGTTTGGAGCTGGTTTGTGGAGACTGGCTGATAGCTGACTGGTAAGCCTGCGGGGAAAGCTTCAGAGCTGAAATTGCAGGGTGAATGGATGATCCATGTCCAGACATGGCAGAGACTGAGAATGCCTATGGACAAAAGAAAATCCTGTGAACAAAGCTTCAAACCATAGAGGACCCGTGAATTCCTTTATGGGGGCTGGTGCTACTGTAATAGTATGTGGATTTGTTGTAGAGCTGTAGATGGCAGCTTATGCATGATACTACAGACAGACGCTTTCCTTCTTGTTTTAGACCCTGTTCTTTCCTGCTACTGCAAATGGGGCATCTTGTTCTCTCCTAAATGTCAGAAATGATCATTTTACCTCCCAGAGCTTGAGATTTCATTGGCCTTGGGTTCTCCTAGCTTACAAATAGCCTCCTGTGGATTGCAGGACACAATAACAGTGTTGCAGGTACAGGATCAGTCCAGCACAACACTCCACCACTTATTTTTTCTCTAGGGAGGAAACTGGAGTTCTCTATATGAACCCAAAAGGAGAGCAACTATCATGTACCTCTGCCTCTGAATCATGCTGTGCTGTGGGGATCCTTAACCAAAGCACATTTATTAAACCTCACGACATTTGCACAGATCAGCTTCCAGATCGGGGTGTTGCTCAGCAGGATAAGCATCTTGTGTGGATGCAGCGCTGGTCCCAAGACATCTGGTGGTGGAAATGGTACAGAGCACATCGCTTTACCCTGCAGCTCTCTGCCGTCATGCTGGCTTACCTTACCTTTTGCAGGCACTCAACTCAGATTTGGGCTGTGTGAGTTTATTCTCCTCCTATTGCAGTTCTCATAATGCTCAACACACAGCCAGCCAGTGCAGGGAAAGTAGGGTAATATTGACAAGTTTTTCCTTGCTCAAGACAAATCAAATCATAAAAAGGGAACGGGCATTTTCTTGCTATGGGACCTATATAGCTGTCCAGCTAGAAGGAATTTTATGTTTTCAACAAAGCTGCTACTTCTTGTTGTCCGTTCAGAACTGCCACACATCATTAAAAATCTATATTGTACTGTAGACATGGTGACAAGAATGCAGGGATTTGCCCCATCCCAGAGGTTAGACCTCTTACTGTGAACTCCTAGGCCCCTGGGTTGAAAAGAAGCAGCCTTTTTCCACAGAGGTTTTGAGGATGTTCTTCTTACCATCCTAGTTCCCATCTTTGTCCCACTGCCAGCATCTCCCCTCTGTACCTGAGAAATTGGGCTGTGGTGCCCATAATGAGATGAGAGCCCAGGTTCTGTTTTTATGGGGCGCATTTCCTCAGTGGTCGTGGCGCTGCTGCTGCTGCTGGTGGAGCTGGTGGTCGGGGTAAGACTCTCGCTGCTGGATGGACCTGTGAGAAAGCAGATGGTAAAACAGGTTCTTCCCAAAGACCTTTCAGTACAGAGCTGTATCCACCCACCCAAAGTTAAGAGTGGGTAAAAATAAAAAAACATATAGTGGGAAGGGCTTTGTTACTGCTGAAAGGCATTTTGAAGAATCAGCCCATTTTGTGGTTGGGTGTCTTATTCACAGGACACGATGGTCAGAAACACAAGTGCACACATGTATACACCTACGATAAACTCCCCTATTCAACATTTACCTGCTGGCGCCTTTGTTTTGTTAAGGTTCTTCGGCTTGCGCTTCCTCGTCTGAATGCCCTCTTTTCTCATTGCTAAAGGCCTTGGAACCTGCAGAGCCAAATATAAAAGCACATTGGTTTCTGTACGTCCATCTAGGAGAATGCAATTCCAGCTTTACCTCATAGGCTCCCTGAAAACCAGCAGATTTAAGTGAAAGCAACAAGATGGAGCCCAAAGTCACTGGTCAGCACTGCTGTGTGAAGAGATATGTCAAAGCTACAAGATGTGCATCCAAATGGGAATAGGTAGGCTTTTCACATCATAAGTGTTGAGTGTTTTAAGTCCAGAAGGGAACAACGGCTCATCTGATTTACTTTCCTGCTTAACTCAGAGCAGAAGACATCTTTCTGGCTAATACCTGCTTTCTGGAAAGGTACCAAGCCGTCCCTTGGGAACTGATCCCACTGAGGTAGTCAGAAACACACTGGGATTTCTAGGAAGAATTGTTGGGTTAGGTAAGGCTTCTCCTCATCCACCTTGTCTTCCAGCTTTGACTTATCTCTCACCAATGCTTTTCCATCCACTCTGAAGCACTGGACATCATCAAGAGCATGGATGTGTATAAAACCCCTAGGAACAGCAATGAGAAGCGGAACTGGGGGTTGCTCCTAAGCAATCACCAGGGTGTTGAAGGCCTCTGTCTCTGCCATGGGGGTGGCCCCGTTGCCACTGACAGATGGGAGAAGGACTGGAGATTTGCATCTTGAGGTCCTGCTATGCCTTGGACTCCAACAGGACTCTCCTAGATATATCAGACATAATACAGATACGTGATGCCCCCACTGACAGGAAGAGACTATCTGGACACCCACACAAGAAAAGTCATCTATCAGTCCCATGACAAGTCTACAACCAAGTCTTAGCTGAGATCTGACACCGTGTGTGGAGGAGGTCAGCCCTTCTTTGTGCTTCTGACTCAGATTTTTCACTAAAGCGACTGAATTAGGTGGGAAGAATCTGGTCCTGCTTTTATTGGGTTTTGATTCAAAAGGTATTATTAATTATTATGTGAGAAATGCCCTGCATGCATCACCCCTGCCAATATAAACATGATGTAACTTTGAGGGGGACTAAAGCTCGGAGGGACATTCAGAAAAACAGCTTCAGGAGAGCAGAGTGTTGTGCAACAAACCCAATCCCCAGCTTGGTGCTACTGATACCCTCCCCGCAGACAGTAGAGATCAATGAAGGCGTTACCCCATGGAGCTTCATGTAGAGTCCGCAGGCGTTACAGACGGGCTCTCCCTCAGCGTTTCTGCGCCAGAGCGTGGTTGTCGTTGTGTGGCAGTTGGCACAAGAGAGACCGACGCGGCGGGAAGCCGACTGCGAGGAAGAAAACACATCAGACCTTCACTGCTACCACCAGCAGCATCTCAGATCCCAACAAGCTCACTCCAGCACACCTCAGGTTTTTCTCTCCTCTTGCCTCCCTTCTCATTTCTCTGCCTTTTTCTCTTCTCGCCTTGGTGCAGTGGATAACACAACTGCCTTTTTTTTCCCCTACTTGCACCACTGCCTTTCCACTGCCTCCTGCCTGCCAGTGCTGCACAGACATCTCAGCTGTCCTGGAGTATATCCGATGGTGCCAGAAACATCACCTGAACAGAGCCCCAGATCTCCACTGGGTCTAGTAGCAGCTTAGAGACCCACTGCACGTGCACACACCTACACTAAGGTGTCTGGATCTCAGACCGTCCTTCCCTTTCAAGCTCCCAAGCCCATCACCTTCTAGGCATCATGGCATATCCCAAGAAGATGTTATCAATGCCATGAATTTTACATACTCCTTGCTGGGTTTGCATGAAGTTGCTCATGTGGCTTGAGGGGGAAATAAGAAAAAGAGTGCTTCCAGCAGCATCATCTTCCTAAAGATAAAGAGGGATAATTAATAGGAATCTCCACTAATGAAATAGTGTAGTGAACAGGCCTTCTCAAGTTCCCTGTCTGGGTGAAGTTGATGACCAGGCTCAAAAGGCCACAGGAGGAAGACAATGGGCTTAAAACCATATAAAATACCAGTTTTGAGCTTGGAATCAGAGTGGGAGGTGGGGGAAGAAAAAGCCATATCCTCCACGTGTGCCTAACTGTTCCCAGCATCCTTCAAAGCACAAGTCTTAAGAGGCTGAGGATAAAGTCTGGACGGGCTGGGATCAAATGCCATCTTTGCTTGCTTTGCTTCTGTTCGGGGGACCGAACAGAAGTGCTAGAGCCGTATGAAGATGCCTGTTCTTGAGGTGCCTGAAAAGAAGCCTATACAGAGGAAATCTGGTGGTCTTGGACATCTAACCAGCTCTGCAGACCTGAACAGCATAGCTGGTTGCTGTGTTTGGGGTGAAAGCCGGGGAGATGCGGACCTGGCAGCTACCAGGGATTTCCTCTGTGATCTTTGCCACAGCACTTCTCTCTGTGTCTTCTCCCTCATTATAAAACAAGGTCAGTTAATCTACGGCAGCAGAACAATAAAAAGTGAAATTCAAGTACTTCTTAAGACTTCGAAAGCTGGAAACCCCTTTCATGCAAAGAAACGAAACACTGCTTTAGTTGTAACCTCTCCATGTATTAGCTTCAGTCATCGGCCTTTGTAAGTGGACCGAGAACTTAAAAGAGAGCTTGCAGCAAAGGCAACGATCTCCCCCTGCAGGGGCATATCTCAGTCTCCGAAAAAAGGGGTTACAGAGTGGCAGATTAAACCCAGTCACTTACACTGAATATATTCATTCAGGTAAACCAATTGTCATTACTTTAACCACACTCCTACATTGCATCCCTAGACATATCCTCCTTTTCTTTATGGAAATTCTTTCCCAGAAAAAACAAGCAGGAATTTGGCAATTTTTGCAAGATTTCCAGATTTCCAGCTGCCTAGAAAAGTAACAAAAGTGCATGTACAGATCTGCACAGCTCATGCATTTATACTTCTTCCAGGGTTTTCCAAGCCCAAGGCTGTGCAGAGTTAAAAGCATGCATAGCTGCTTGCTCCAAAGGACCAAGCCTGATACCCAACGGGCCATTCCTGACTACACAGATGTGCCCAAGGATAACATGTAGACCAGTAAATGAAACAGGGCAAGGTCCTGGGTGCTAGGGTGCAAAAACTGCTGGCTCCATCAGGGCAGTGTCTAAGAAAGGGTTTTCACAAGAGGGCGCTGGGTGGCCGTGGCTGGGGGGGGGGCGCCAACACGCGCACCCTGCCACTGTCATTTTTGACACTTGCAGGGGACAGCTGGGTTTGGGCACAGCCAGGTCTGGGCAATGCGAAGGGCAAGGGCAGGTTGGGGATGGAGCCTCATGGAAGACAAGGAGAGGGGAAATATGGCCCCCGAGGGATGGATTGCTGGCTCTTTGCTGCCTAGGGTCACGATTGGCCCTGGGGCCCAGACTACAGAGACCTTCCCAAAACTCCTCACCAAAATTGGCAGGAACAGGCAGGATATCAACACCAAAATGTTCCCCCAGGTTCCTCATGCATACCCCATCCTGGCTGCACAGGCTATGGGGTGCCCTGACCTGCCCCACAAGTTCTGCTTCAGCTCACCCAATGGAGCCAGGATTGCGGTATCCAGAAAAGACGGCGAATCACCATGAAGCAACTGGAGAATAAGGACCCTGAGAGTAAGAGAAGATGGACTGGTGGTGTGGTGGAGCTGGAAAGGGTTTCCATTCATCCTAATATACCTACAGGGATACTAAAGCAAAGATTGGCTTTTGCTAAACCTTCACCATGGTAGTCCCCCTGTGTCCTACAGCCCCTTCCACCTCCTGGCCTGGGTATCTGCAGAACTGCTCTAGACAGTACGAGGTCTTGGAGTGTACCAAGCACAAGACAATGTCTGGATTATTTTGGAAATCTGGACCAAAACTAAGTAGATTGGGAAGACGGAAACCCAAGGAGTTGAAACACCCCTGGCGTCTCCACCTAGCTGAGGTCTTTTTACCTTGTCTTCACACACAGCCTTGCCTCACGTGCGTTGTATGATCTTGACTTACCAGCCTCCTCTGAGGTTTGAACAAGGGCCGGTTGATGCCATTCATCTTGTGGTAGAGCCCGCAGGCATTGCAGAGGTAGTGCCCCGTGCCATCTCTCCTCCAGAGTGGGGTGGACATGGCCCCACAGTTGACACATTCTCGCCCCTCTGAATAATCATCAAAAAATTCTGCTGCCATGATAGAAGATAAGGGAAAAGACTTGGTTAATTAGGTGACCATACATTTAATTTCTGATCTGGTTCTCAATATTTGAGCTTAGAAGTGACATTTCAAGAAATCACAAACATTCTGATTTTATAGGGTACAAGAAACAGCTCTTCCTTTCTCAAGAAAGCCCCTGGGATTATTGTGAAGAGGAACCCCTTTCCCAGCCATACAGCGTTGGCTGTAGGACTTCTGTGCCCACAGGGATGTGCTGAGACACAGATACAAGGAGAAAGAAATAGAAACCTTCCCTTCTGCTCTGATATTACCCAATTTTCAAGATTGGACATATCCAGGGCAAGCAGCTTGGGGCAGGTGAACAGCCATGTTTACAGTCAGGACAAATTGCCTGCGACCATGGACAAACACAACCCAGACCCATGAAACAGAACTGCCCAGAGATCGGACAGCTGCCCGAGCATCTCTCAACAGGGCTCAAGCAAACATGGGCAGGGAAAGCTGTGCCCGTATGCCCTGCTACCCTGCAGGACTGCTCCTCACCCAGCCTGTGCCAGCTCCCCCCAGCCCCTCTGCAGAGGCGAATGGCTGCAGAGGGCCAAGGAGGAGAGACGTTCATGTGCCTTCGCCCTATTCTCTGCACAAGAAGCATCTCCTGAACTACAGGAATCCACATGTACAACCCCAGCTCAGGTTGTCAGCTAACAGACATTCACAGGTGTCAGAGACTCAGCTTTTGATGCAAATCTCCACCATGCTTGATGTCACTCTCCAGGGCTTCATGCATGAACCCACCATGTTACTCGTTCACCCTCCACCAGGCCCTGGCTGCAGCTGTGATGTGAGGGTAAGGACAACTGCCCTGGGCTGGGCCAGTCCAATCCCTCTGGCTATGGCAGGTCCGTATCATCTGCAAGGTGGTGCAGAGGTCAACACACCTTGACTGCATCATCATTTGGAAAGACGCAGGTCAGCTCACCCTTGGATACAATGCCCTCGAGAAGCCAAGAACTTTGCCTAATAAGCATCAGCTATAGGTCTTGCTGAGATGTAAATATAGCTGCATCCAGCTGGCGTGGCCCTTGAAAATGTGCATTCCTGATGGTGATCCCACCCAGAGAGTATCAGCTATTGACTTCAACTTGGGGATGTATTTCTTCTGTTACAAAAATGTTCCTTCCTGCACATGGTAAAACAATTGTGGAGAAGAAGAAAATGACAAATGAGAGCAAAGGGTTCCATTACTTAGCATAGGCTGGGAATAAACCAGGCTGCTGAAAATATTCCCAACAAATGGCAGCGCAAAGGAGACGTGTGGAGGACCGCAAGAGCTTTGCATCAGGACCTTCAGCCATCACAGACCAATGTAACATTAGCTCTTAAAATGTTAGTGTGCATCTTGCTATATTTTGTGCTTGTCCACCTGCTTGTTATGAAAGTATCATCTCAGCTTTCTGCTGGAAGACAATAGTTCCCCAAAGAGCAAGCCAACAAAATTTGGCTTCTTGCTGATATGTGTCTCAATCCCATGTGGATTCTCTGAGATCTAATAAGGGTTATGTTCAAACATCAGCATTATTTTCTCTTCTCTCCAGACTATTTTTGGAAAATCTGTAGGAAACTACATAACCATGAAACAGCCAAAGGATTAAAAAATTACTAAAGTGGCGCCAGTAAACAGAGACACAGAGAAAAAGATTGATGTGAGCCTAATTCTCCCTAGAAAAGCAGGCTAAAAATGGCAAGAGATTACACCATGTGGACATGGGGAAATACTAGAAATTAATTTACCCGAGGGGCTCTGGAGCCAGAAAAGAAGGAATCCAGTATCTTCTCAGCAGCTTAGAAAAATCTCATTACCTTTGAGCAATTCTGGTGGTTTAAGAAAGATGGGAATCCCTCCAGGTGACTTTTGTACACGTGGATTCAGTGATATCGTAACCATAATGCCTCACTTTCCCCTTTAAAATCACCATTGAGTCATAGCCAAAATCTAGATCAAATAAACTTCCTCTAAAAAGAGAAGGGATTGGAACAGCTGGTCAGGAAAGAACTCATTTCCTTGAAAAATCTCAAGAAAGGAAAACATTTCACTGTTTTTTTCATCTTAGAAGTTGTTGAGGGTTTTGATTATAATTTTCCAAAGAAAAAGCCAAATTATTTTCAGCGTAATTTTTGTTCTGTGAGAAAACCCTTTCTTCTTTGAAAATAATTCAGTACAAAGTTGTTTGTTGATATAATTCAGGGAGAATTTAGCAGAGCAGAGGTAGTCCAAAGGTAACAGTTAAAACTCCTGACCAATTTGAGTTGTGTCTGTGACTAATTACAAAATACCATCTTTTCTGGAGACTTTTCCACCAGAAAACCAAAATCTGAAAGTTTTTCATCAAAGAAAAAGGAGAAAATTCCTAACAGTCCCTCTGAAACGTGAAGAGTTGGACTGGCTCTTGACTAAGAAGGTCCCTCAAAATGGGTATGATAAGAAGAAATGTCAAGTATGGGTATACTTCTGTTTTTAGAAAAAAACAGGATGTGGAGTTGAAACCAGGCAAAATGCAAGTCTCTTATTTCCTGACAATAATCAAATTTGCTACTGGATGTTGAATGTTATTTCCTAAGAGTTTGCATGACACCCAGCTCCACTGTCCACATTATTTTCACTGTTGGTTTGTAATCAGACATCCAAAATCCCCGTGCAAAGCAGTCTTGAGACTTGCTCTCCTTTTTTATCTCTTTTTGTTTGAGCTATATTCTTCACTACTTGTTTGGGGTGGTTTTTTTCAGCTTCCATAGGATTTGGACTAGAGCTTTTTCTCTTGAGGAACTTTCACTGGTTTAAGTTTAAAAAAAAAAAAAAAAACAAACCCAAAACTCTTCTTCTTCCGTAGTAATAGAATTTGTGTGATTTTCCCCTCTCAGCTGCAGACAAAGGTGATCCTTGTGAACGTTAATAAACGGGAATCACTGCTGCTTGAGATGGGGAAGGAACAGACTTTGTTCCCAGGGCACACTGAGACTCCACGCAATGGGTGCCTCTCCGTAATCACAGCCCTCCTGGGGCAATACCAGATGGGTGCGTCCCTTGCGTGCACTACCCAGTGCTGAGTCAGAAGATGACATCTGCAGAGTGCAACCTCATTAAAACCATTCCTGGAGCCCCATCAGAACAGAAGGAGGTCCTTGACCTCAAGAGATCTCACCTGGGGGAGAAATAGCCTCTCCTGCTTCAAAGTGCGATGGTGAAGGATGTCTCTTGGACGCTAGTGGATCCTGGCTCAGAGAAGATGACGTAGGCTTAGTGTATGCCCTTTAGTGAATGAAGGGCTTTTTGGCACCAGTGGAGAACTGGAAGGCAAGGGACTGGATTTCTTTCTAAAAGAGGTGCTATAATTTCACAGCATCACTAAGCTCATGGATGAAGTTGCTGAGGAGAGTTTTCTGAGCTAACCTTCTGGCCACACCACTGAGGCATCCCAGCTGCTCCTGAAAACCTGAGGGTCTACATAATAATGAGAAAGTATCACCTGAAGAACTGCAGCCTGTGCAGTTTGATGTGGGTGGGTGTCTAAGACCTAGGAAATGCAAATGCTCGAAATAGCTGCTTGTTTCTGAAGATGTGGGCCATGGTCTCCACCTGTCTCCTTCCCCCAGGGACATAGCTGGCGACAAGACCCTCTCCCCATGCCTGCTTTCATGAGAAGACAGCAATATCTCCAAGGTCACTTCCACGACAAGCCGAGTTCTCAGAGCCCACAGGCACCACGATCCACCAGCAGGCTGAGCTACATTGGGCATGGAGGTCACTGGGCCTCAAGTGCACTGATTGTTTAATTTGCCATTGTTATTAATAATGAGGATTAAGGCATGGTGGACTGGAGACTCCCCGGGAAAAAGCAGCAAAGTGTTTTCTTGGCTTCTGTCTCAGGGCTGGAGCTCTAAATCCTGGCATTATGAGATCCCCTGACACTTATTCCTTGTACTTAGCAGCTGGGAAAGGAAACATTTATTCAGGCAGCAAATTGCCCGAGCGGCTCCCAGAGGGCCCTGAACAATGCGGGGGGAAGGAAAGGCTCCCCCAGTCGCACTCAGGGCAATAATTTCCGTATTGTGGCACAGGAGCCGCTGCCTGATAATGGAGATTTATGGGTCCGTCCGGTGACCTCTGTAATAGCCTTTTTGCTGAAGAGATTTACTCCCACTGCCAAAGCCAGGTATGGCCAGCACTGGGACAGGGTTGAAGAAGGGATAACATTTGCCAGTTAGGCTGAGAAGGACACAGACCCATGGCTGGAATAGCCTCCTTCACTACATGTGCTGAATGGTCTCATCTTCCTCCGTGAACGTACAGCTCCCCCAAGTGCCTTTGCCCAGCCCTTATCTTGGATAATATCAGTCTTGGGATCATTCAGTCCTTTTTTATGGGTCGGGTCTCTGGCATTGGCTCATGAGAGAGCCAACTCTCTTGTTGTTTCGTAAGACCCTACCTTTAGTCCGTGAAGGAGCTTCTCACATGAGAGCAAATCATGAAATCTCGCTGAATGACCCAGCTGGTGAGAGGATGGATTGGGTCTTGTCCCTATCCTGGTCATCAGCTTATTGTGTAAAAGGAGATCTTTCTCCCCTCACACCTACTGTTTATGAGGACTGCAAGGTCCCCAGGGCAGGAAATGTCACTTGTGTGTTGCACAACAGCTTCCTAATCTTGGGTGAGGCCTTGAGCATGCTAATGTCAGAAATACTTTCCACAATGGGACATTCAGTCCCCAGGGAGCCAGGAGTAAGTCCTAAGTGGGGCACTGGGGTCTGGTAGGGAAAAAGCATTCTTGGATATGGCCCTTCATGGCTCTTAGTCATTGGGAGTGGTCCTTCACATCCACCGCCAGGTCCACAGAGATCAAATGGTATGGACAATGCAGGGCTCAACAAGAAAGCAGATCTGAGCACCGCCAGCCAGTCCACACCTACAGGCACTTTTTCCAGCATGGTTAGGACATGACAGCATCTCTGA